AGCTAAGATCAAGAGAACAAATGATACCAAATGTTGGAGAGGATGTGGGGAAAGGGGAACTCTCATCCACTGCTGGTGGGACTGCAAACTTGTTCAACCCCTATGGAGAGCAGTGTGGGGAACTCTTACAAAAACTACAAATGAACCTACCATTTGACCCAGTTATGCCACTCCTTGGCATATACCCAAAGAACTCACTCATCCTATCAAGACACTTGTACATCTATGTTTGTTGCTGCTCTTTTCAGAATAGCTAAGAGATGGAAGCAACCTAAGTGTCCCTCAACTGATGGGTGGATAGCAAAAATGTGATGCATTTACACAATGGAGTTCAACTCAGTGGTAAAGAAAAATGATATAATGTGATGAGTGGATAATGAAAATGTGGTTCATTTATACAATGGAGTTTTACTCAGCAGTAAAGAAAGATGAAATCATGAAATTTGGAACTAGCAACCATGGATGGAACTAGCAACCATTAAACTTAGTGAAGTAACACAGACTTAGAAAAAAAAATGGCATATGTTCTCCCTCATATGTGGATCCTAGCACCAAATCCTTATAAGTGAATATGTATCCAAATATAACTACAGGAACCAGGATAATGAAGAGGAACCAGGGAAGTAAAGGAAAAGAAAGAATCTGAAAAAGAAGAACAGTAGAAAACAGGTGTTAATAAGGGAGCTATGGATAATAATGGGGTTATTTTAAGGGGAGGGGGGAGGGAAGGTTAAACAAGGAACCTAAGGGATAAAGGGAAAGAAGTCGCTCAAGAGAGGTGGGACCATAGGAGAAGAGTATTATTAAGGGAGAAATGGAAACAATGGGACATCTTAAATGGGGAAACTGTTGTGGAAAGGTTAGACAATGTGAGAGATAAACAATGCCTAGCTAGTTTTAGAAAACCAGAGGGAACCATATTAGGCCAACAACCTACTGACAAATTATACATACAACCAGATCAAAGACTGTAATATATGCCCAGGCAAGGTTTATCTGCGAGCGTTTGGTCTTTGCCCAAGCTTTATCTACATGGCATATGGTAACCAAAAGTACCAGGCTGGTGGAACTAACCTTCTTGGATGTTTAACAGCCATACTTTGAGGCCTATACTAATTTGGTCAGGGGGACATAAAAGACAGTTTTTGCTCCTTGCCCTCCTAGGTCGACTAAGTTCCAGGGGACTATGAGCATCTCTCAAAGTGTCCAGTAACTGTGGTGAATCACCTGTCCTCTTGAGCAAGGAGGCCATGGAGACCCCACCAGATGGACCTGAACCAGTGTCAACAGAGGAAACATTTCCTCCTTGCTTCCAAGCAAAGCAGCCAGGACCTTTCACTTATCTTCACATAGATGGAACTGGTAAAAGGAGCCAGGGGCTCCTCCCAAGCCCATGTTACCCCCGAGGAACAGATCCTCAAATGACCTTAAGAGTAAAAATAAATAGTTTTTTCTGGGCCAACTGTAGGGTCTTAAACACCCAAAAGTATAACAAAAGATTAATGGGGTCAACATAATTTTTAAGAGTCAGCTGGGTGTGGTGGTGCACGCCTTTAATCCTAGCACTTGGGAGGCAGAGAGGCAGGTGGATCTCTGTGAGTTCAAGGCCAGCTTGGTCTACACAGTGAGTTCCAGGACAGCTGGGGCTACAGGGAGACCCTGTCTCAAAAAAAAAGAGTCCATATGTATAGCTAAAGGCTACATAACAGGAAACAATGCCAGACGGGATATACCTTCCTTTGAGTTATTGGCCAAGGTGGCACAAGAGACTCCCAGACAGTAACCCAGCATAGAACTGGGAACAGCAGGCCCCAATCTTATCTAAAGGCATATTGACAACTGATTGCTGCTAGATGAGGAACAGCTGATCTTACTAAAACAAGGATCTCTAGATAGGCTGACTAGATTCAGCAGACAGACAAACACTGGAGAATGGCTGGGGATGTTGTCAACACAGTGGACAGTAACAGGGATGACAGAACATATGGGCTCCAGTATGTGGGAGGGGAGAGCCTATGTGAGGATGCATTTGGGTAGTGGGTATATAGATGAGTAAGATTGTGTTGGATGTTCTGTATGATATACACACAGAAAAATCAACAAATTAAAGAAAAAGAGAAGACAATTTGAGGAGGAGCATAAAAATTTACTTCATGTTAAATTATAGAGGTGATAAACATTACCAGTGAAATCTACCTGAGGACTTTATATCCACACTCAGGTACTAACAATCTGAATATAACCGATGGTGACTAGTAATCATCAGATACATAGAGATTAAAGACACATGTGCAAACATCTAAGCGTTGGTAGCATTAAAAATGTAGGAAATAGCATATTTTAAAATGAAACAGATCTTCTTTAAAGTGTAAAAACTCATTGAATTTTATTTCTTACAGGATTTATACTGAGTTCAATATTGTATAACTGTATTAATTCAACTGTGAACCTAAAAATTTATAGCCACTTTTGAAAGAGATGTATCCTTGCTCTGGAGTATGTTACTGAATATGTTAAAGCTGTAATGAAATGCTTCTTCGAATCATGGGGCTATTAAATTAAAAAAATAAAAATAAATTCTTCAAAGCATTAAGAATTTGCTCCTTAATAATTAGATGTGAGAAACATTACCATTGAAATCTACCTGATGACTTTATATCAATGCTCAGATGCCTAGAAGCTCAGAAAGTAACCAACTGTGACTAGTAATAATCAAATATATAGATATTAGAAATGCATGCGCATCTTAGTGTCAATTGTATTAAAATGAATTTTTCTGTATGAAACTGTATTTTAATAATGATAATTCAACTGTAAACCTAAAAATTTACAGCCAATTTTGAAAGAGACGCATCTGAGCTCTGGAAATTGTTATTGAATATGTCAATGCTGTTGTAATGAAATGGTTCTTCTAATTATGTGGTTATTAAATAATTAAAAAAATTTTTTTATTGAAAAAAAATTAAGCCTGGTCTAAGCTTCTGTGGGCGTTACACGCACAGGTGGGTGCACGTACAATGAAGGCCAAACACTCATATACATAAAATAAAATTTAACAATTAAAAAAAAACCTAGCACAGCTCATTTTAGTTGTGGACAACAATAGTCTGATTAACTTATTTTCGTAGCTTTTAAAGATAGCTAATACCCCAAAAATATTCTTTACACAAAGGAGTAATTATTATAAGATAATTGAAATTTCCCCCTTTCCAGGGAGATTAAGCCAAGCAAGGTACTATAAAGATATGTAATTTTGAGAATAACTAATTTCACTTGCTTATTGTTAGCAGTAACATCCACGGTGGAATGGTTTGGTTAAATGCCTCCCAGAAGTTTGGTCCCTAGCCTGTAATGCTACCAGGATGTGGTGAACCCTGTAAGAGGGGGAACCTAGTGGGAAGTCTTAAAACACTGAGGGCATGCCCTCAAAGGCGAGATCCAATATCTGCCTCTCTTTTGCTTGCTGGACATCAGAAGGTGAGCAGCTTTGCTCTGTCACATTCCCACCACAATGTGTTGTCTCACCACAGGTCCAAAACACCATGTTATGAAATCGTAGAAGCCCCGAGTGCCCCCCCTTCCAACTTTTCTCTTTACTTTTTGGGGGTCTTCTTTTTCAGATAGGTCTCCTGGTGGCCCCAGCTGGCCTGGAACTCATAGAGATCCACCTGCCTCTGCCTCCCAAGTGCTGGGATTAAAGGCGTATGCCATCATGCCCAGCAAAACTTTTCTTTTTATATGCTGATCATCTCAGTTATTTGTCACAGCAATAAAAAGATAATATGTGACTATGTCAGAAAATGCAATGTTGCTACTTTTTAATCTCCAGTGCCTTTAAAAACAACAAATTGAGCACTACAACCTAAGTCCTCTAAGAGAATTCAACTGTATCAGAAATAGACCAGAGAAATTTAATAAAATTACTAATTCCAACATTAAGCTTTTTCTTGTAGACAACACCAGATTCCTTTTTATTAATTTATTAGGTTTTTTTGAGACAGGGTCTCCCTGTAGTCCCAGCTGCTTGGAACTTGCTTTGTAGACCAGACAGGCCTCAATCTCACACAGATTGGCCTCTATCTCACAGAGACCACCTTGCCTCTGCCTCCCTAATGTTCCTGGCTCTTTTATTGATTTTTTACAATTTTTTAATATAAACCTTTCAATTCTTTTCCTTTTAGAAAAAAAAATCTTTTCTGTCTATTGAAAAAGAAAAAGTGCCAGGCATGGTGGCACACGCCTGTATTCACAGCACTTGGGAGGCAGAGGCAGGCGGATCTCTGTGAGTTCAAGGCCAGCCTGGTCTACATAGTGAGTTCCAGGACAGCTGGGGCTTACAGGGAGATCCTGCTTCAAAAAGACCAAAAAAAGAAAGTAAGCTACTTTTATTATAAAAACATTTTACTGGGCTGGCCAGATGGTTCAGCAGGTAAAGGCACTTGTCACCAGGCCTGAAGACCCATATGGTGGAAGGAGAGAACAAATTCCTCCAAGTTGCCTTTGACCTCCACATGTGCACCAACACATATAGTAAGTTTAAAATGAATAAATAGCCATCTTGATTCAAAGATCATAAAGGAAGAATCACACATCCTTTGATTCAGAGGAAGTGTAATTTTTAAGTTTACACATTACTTATCTCAAGACCAGAAATAGCTCAGGATAGCCTAGATTACCCTGCCAGTTAAACCTGAATGATGTCTAATATCATGTGTATCACCTAAAGAGTATTTAGTTGCAAAATCTTTCATGTATATTATTTCTCATAACAGGACCCTAGATTAAGGATGGTTTCAACCTCATTGATAACCCTTCTGTAAATCTTAAATATATCTACTCTTTGGAAATATGAATACATACAAATTTTAGGTCTAACTTCAGAGTTCATACACACTAGCTTACTACGTATGTGCTGTGTTTATAACAGAAAACAAAGTTGTCAAGAATAAAGCAAAAATGTATCTAATAGCACACAAAAGAAAATCATCACTGAGACATACCTTTCTTACTAAGATCAATAGCAGCTTCTAAAAGCACTTCTAATTCCCCTTTTGGCAAAACTGGAACCACCCATCGAGGCCTACGAATTTACAAAAGAAAGAAGTTTATTCGTTATGCACTAATACTAAAATAATATTAAAATGTATTAGAATAGTGGGGATCGCTGAATTTTTTATAATTAAGCATCATCTATTGTCTTCACATGTAGAATTTTTTAAAACTCATAAAATATGCAACTACTATAATAATCAAATATCAAAATTAGACATCATATATGCCTACTGTTAAGTTCACAGGAAAGGGCTTTTAGGATTCAGATTAGAATTGCCTTGAACTTCCTCAAAATGAACAAAAAATTTTCTGAAGGCTCAGTGAGTTGTGGGCCTTCAGTCTCTATAGGCGTTCCTCCCTCAAACATGGATGTCGATCTCACTCTGATCCCACTGCTGACTCAATCATCTTTTCCCTAGTCTTTCCTGCTCATTACTGCCCAATTCACCCACTCTTGCCCCACAAGAGTCAGCCTTCTTCCATCCAATCTTTAATTTCTGTTCTAAGAGCAGGCAAAATTCCTAAATGCCCCTATATTTAATCAAAAGCAAGCCATTAAAAAGGCAATTTATTACAAATATTCTTTGTATTTTTCTTCCCTTAAGAATTGTTACTATGAAACTTAATCCTCTTGTCTGCACAAGTACTTTATTAACACAAACCACCAGACAAAACTGAAATGCAACATTACACCATCTGCTATGACTTCTCTGCTGTACAGAACAGTAAAGGATCATTAGAACAATTCTAGTTTGATCATTATACAATTCTAGTTTGAGAACTGATTTCATGTGATTATTATAGGCAGCTACTAAAATCATAATGTATTCGCTTAAACATTCCAAGAAGAACAATGGATTAATTAGAAAATCAAAATAAATGAAACAAGGAAAGTAAGTTACAAAATTATATTAAGGATTTCGTATTTTCAGCTGGGCATGGTGGCACATGCCTTTACTCCCAGCACTAGGGAAGCAGAGGCAGGCAGATCTCTGAGAGTTCAAGGCCAGCTGGGGCACAGGGAGACCTTGTCTCAAAAAAGGCAAAAAAAATTCATAATTGTAGAAAAAATGCATACTTGATAGTAAATAGAAAGTTAACATTGGTTGGGATGTGTGAAGGTGGGGTGAGGGAGTTTGGTGTTACAGAAATTTACCTACACAATATAGATCTATGCTTAATAGTTCATACCCATTCCTTAGGAATTCAGATTCTCTTTAAAAGCAAAGGACTTTTATTTTCCTTGACATTATTTAACAGTGTTGACTTAGTTTCGTTAAGTGGATATACATCATGGCTTTCCCTTTTGAGGCTCCCCTGTTGAACCCACACAGACCAATGAAGATCACACTCTTCTCTTACCCTCTTTTACTACTTCTTACCCTGCACACCACCTTAAAGCATCACTTTTGCGGCTCACAAAAGGGCAGGCTCTGAGGATCTTAGCATCCTCATGAACTAGTTTGTCTCAGGGCCACCTCCAAGTTATTAAAGCCAGCCAAAATCTAACATGCCAACCAAAAGGAAGCAGCATAAACTCTTGAAAAGGCAAGGTGCACAAACAGTTCTAGTTCAGAAAGTGTACCAGCTAGGGCCATTTTGCTAGTCTAAAAACTTCATTGATATTCCCTCTCCTTTTCATTTATTAAACCCATTAAGAGTCATGTTATAAAGGACTTGGCAGTGATGGACTAAGTAAGGACTAAGAAAGATTAAGGCAGAAGTGGGTTACTCTAACATTCCTCTTCACTGGTCCATCACCATATATAAAGCTAAAAGCATGCTTTCCTTGTCTACTAATTATATGTATTAAAAACAAAACCAACTGACCTGTTGATCATATCATCTAACTTCGCCAAGTCAGTATGTGGAAATGCAGGTTCCTCGTCTTCAATCTGTGGTGGGGCATCACCTTGACCTTGTTCATCAGGAGGAGTTGCCGGGGAATTTTCATTTGAAGAATCAGGTGATGAAGTCTTTATTAAAAATTAAATATTCAAGATTTAAGTTTCTATAACATATACGATACCCAGTAATCCAAATACTAATACACACTATTAACTTTAAAAAATTTGTTAGTAGCATGAAATTTTACAAAGATATCTCTGAAAGCTTATGATTTTTTCAGTCTCTGTGCTATTGTGCTTTAAACGTTCATTTAATCCTCTAAAGTTTAACAAAATATTCTATCATTTAAAATAGAAGAGAAAATAAACTCCAAATATAGTCAAAAATGCCAATCCCAATCTATTCTTTTGTGTTCATAAGCACAAATTCTGCTGCCTTTTTGTTTATATTTTCCAATACATGAGCCCTGTTGTAATACAGAAATTCTTTTTTTAAAAAAGATTTTATTAGTTTATGTGTATGAGTATACTGCTTGCATGCAGGTAAGGGCACCCGAGTCATGCAATGCTCGTGGAGGTCAGAAGAGGACGTCAGATCCCCTGGAACTGGAGTTACAGGTGGTTGTTAGACATTATGTGGGTGCTGGGAACTGAATCTGGATCTTCTGCAAGAGCAGCCAGTGCTCTCAGTGGCTGAGCCATCACTCCAGCCCCAGAATTTCTTGTACAAATATGAAACACATTTTACAGAAAGTTTCTACCTTCGAATTAGAAAAGTGAAAACATTTTCTGTAATTTCTCTACTTTAAAATTATTTCACAGTAGCCTAGGACTACAGCTAAGTGATAGAGCACTTGCCTAGCAGGTCTGAGGCCTAGGTTCAATATCTGGCACCACAAACAAATTATTCAAATAATAATTTAAAACTTTACAATTAGGGCTTCATTTTTCATTTGTCATTCCCTATTACTTAAGCACATTTCTTTTCTCTACTTTAGTTGTGTACAGTATTTCACAACTGAATGAATTTTTAAAACCCTAATTATTTTTCCACAGTGCTGCAGTCAAACCCAGGACCTCTCATGCTATGTAATCACTCTGTCATCAAGTCACATCCTCAGCCCATCTCTTACTCTTTAAAAAGAGATTTGTGTGTACGCGCACACCTGCCTGTAGAGGCCAGAGGCCACGTTAGAGGCTCCCTGGAGCTGGAGTTAAGGCAGTTGTAAGCTGCCTAGTGTGGATGCTAGGAACTGAACTTGGGTTCTTTGCAAGAGCAGAAAGTGTTCTTAACCACTAAGAGTCGCCTCACTAGCCCAGATCTCTTAACCTTGATTTAGAAAGCAGGCGGCGTGTTTCTTTAAAAGAAAAACCAACCTAGCCGGGTGAAGTGGCGCACACCTTTAATCCCAGCACTTGGGAGGCAGAGGCAGGCAGATCTCTGTGAGTTCAAGGCCAGCCTGGTCTACATAGTGAGTTCCAGGACAGCTGGGGCGACAGGGAGACCATCTCAAAAAGACCAGGAAAAAAAAAAAAAAGAAAAACCAACCTAATATTTTAAATTTGTATTTTATCTATTATTATTGAGTGTACACAAATGCTTGGAGATTAGAGGACAATTTTGTGGAGCTAGTTCCCTCCTTCTACATTTCCGTGGATTGCAGGGATCAAACTCAGGTCACTGGGTTTGAGTGGCAAGCGCCTTTATTCACTGAGTCATTTCATGCCCCAATGTAAACTGTACTCATGCTATTCAGTTTTTTTTTAAGATTTTTAAATTTTATGTGTGTGTGTGTGTGTGTGTGGGCCCAAGTGTACATGAATCCTGTGTGCAAGTGCATGAAGAAGCCAGAAGAGACTGTTGGATTCCTTGGAACTAGAGTTACAGGCAGTTGTAAGTCGCTATTTTGGTGCTTGGAACTGAACCCAGGCCCTCTGCAAGGGCAGTAAGCACTCTTAACCACTGAGCCATCTCCTCAGCCCCCAATAATAAATAGTTGCATAAATAAATGCTTGTATGAAGACAGTAAAGTATGCCACGATTAATATGTTGTTCTTACAAAGTTTGTATTGAACTTAGACAAGTTAGCAATCTAATGGCTAACTTTTAAGATGGAGAACATTGTATTTACCACACACACAAAAGTTGCCAGGAAAAGAATTCAAGTGTTAGAAGCCCAATACAAAAAGGTAATTTGAAGTAAATAACTTTAGAAACCTGTTTCATTTTAAGCAACCAACAAAAAACTTCATCCCAGTATATATGTATGTATATTCTCACTTTTTAAAAAATTTTATTATTTTTATTTTATGTGTACGTGTGTATTGCCTGCATGTAGGTAAGTGCACCCGTGTCGTGCAATGCATGCATTGGTCAGATCCCTGGGACTGGAGTTACGGACAGTTGTTAGCTGCCATGTGGGTGCTGGGATTCGAACCCGAGTCTCCTGCAAGAACAACCAGTGTTCTTAACCACTGAACCAGCTCTCCAGCCCCTGTATAGTCTCACTTTTAAACTCTAACCTGTAACAGTTGAATAATAACTTATCCCCAAATGATAAATCTATACTCTACAATAACAACACTTTTGCCTTGAAACTTAAACCCACACAAATTCTACAAAATTGCATACTTCTATAAGCAGCATGTTTGTGACTTGTATATATACACACAACCTCAGCTAATTTACCTCTAAAAGCACTACAGGAGATGTATATCACAAATTTTACTCTTTGTGGTATTGAGTTCTAATACTTCAAAACATGAAACTGTACATATTAGAAAAGGCTGAAATAATTTTCAGAAGATGAAAAAAATTTGGTTTGATTAAACCAAATCCAAAAGGAAGTAAGAAGAATCAGCAGATAAAAGCCTGTCTGTGTGTAGGGGGGCAAGGTATCAAAGTCCCAAAATGTGTTTTTTAAAAAATGTTTAATGAAATTGGTAAGTTCATAGAAAGGCTGATCAGGAGAGAGAACACAAATAGGCAGTATCAGAGATGAACAAGAAGATATTGCCATAGGCCTTAAAAATACTTAAAAAAAACTAATAAAAAGGGCATTAGGGGGCAGCTCCATGATACACATGCTAGGACCGACTGAGTTCCATACCCAGTGCACACATGTACAAAGAATATTACAAACAACTGTATCATTTTGACAATCTAGGTGAAATGGACAAATTCTTAGGAAAAAAAAACTTAGCAAAAGACCCTGCTTTAAAAAAATTCCTCTTAAAAAAAAATTTGGCTCTACAAATAAAATCTTCTCACTAATCAAATACCAGACCAAGTGGTTCTACTAGTAAAATCTTCCAGTGTGGGGGGCCAGGGATGGGGACACACAGGACCAGAAAATATTATATAAATTGATCTAGAAAACAGAAAGCAGTATTCCTCTGAGAGCTTTAAGGTCAGCAAAAAAAGGACACCAGTATCTATGTTATGATCTTTTATTTATTTATTTAAATATCTTATTATTTTATGTGTATGAGTGTAGTGTCTTGCATGTAGGTAAGTGCACCCGTGTAGTGCAATGCCCTCGGAGGACAGAAGAGGCTGTTGGATCCCCTGGAACTAGAGTTACAGACAGTTGTTAACTGCCATGTCGGTGCTGGGATTCGAACCTGGGTCTTCTGTGAGACCAGTCAGTGTTCTTAACCACTGAGCCATCTCTCCAGCCCCTGTTAAGATCTTTTTTAGGAAAAATATATTTACATTGAGTGTTTTGCCTGCATGTATATAAATGTACCACATGTGTGCAATGCTTGCAGAGGCCAGAAGAGGGTGTTGGATCCTCTGGAACTGGAGTTACAGATGGTTGTTAGTCACCATGTGGGTGCTGGGAACCAAACCTGGGCCCTCTACAAGCATAGCCAGTGCTCTTAACCACTGAGCTATCTCTCCAGCACTATATTAGGATCTTTGCAAACATTTCACTTTATCCTTACCAACAATGCTATAAAGGTCTATTGCTATTATCCCTATTGTACAAAGGATGGAACTGAGGCTTAGAGGTTATGTAAGTTTTAGTCATAAACCTAATATGGTACAAAGGTGAACTTTGAACACCAGTAATATGACTTCAGTGCATACTCTTAAAAAAACATATTTATTGCTGGGCGTGGTGGCACATGCCTTTAATCCCAGCACTCGGGAGGCAGAGGCAGGCAGATCTCTGTGAGTTCAAGGCCAGCCTGTTCTACATAGTGAGTTCCAGGCCAGCTGGGGCCACTGGGAGACCCTGTCTGAAAAAAAGACCAAAAAAAAAAGTATTGTCCGGGCTGGAGATGGCTCAGAGGTTAAGAGCACTGGCTGTTTTTGCAGAAGACCTGGGTTTGAATTCCAGCACCCACATGGCAGCTAACAACAGTCTGTAACTCAAGTTCCAGGGGATCCAATGTCCTCTTCTGTACTCCATGGGCAGTGCATGACACGGATGCACTTACATACATGCAGGCAATACACTCATACACACTAAAAAATGTGTTGCCAATTTCTGGGTGTTGCGGCAGTCGCCTTTAATCCCAGCACTTGGGAGGCAGAGGTAGGTAGATTTCTGTGACTTAGAGAAAGAATGGCCTGGTTGCCATAGGGAGATCTAGGCCAGCCAGGGCTACATAGTAAGACTCTGTCTCAAAAAAAACCCCAGCAAACTGACAATGTATTTGGTCTATATTTGTGACACATAAAGTAAGACTATGATTTACTTGTTTCCATAGGCTACAATGTATGATACAATAATTACTCCAAGAATTGACACAGCGCTTAAATAGTTCATTTTAGTAATGACTGACAATATAAGACATCTGGAAAAGATAGAAAGCATCACTCTTCTTCAGCACTTAAGTTCTCGTTACTGTCTAAGACCCAAACAAAACAATCATTTTATGATTACTTCACAAATCATTCCTAACATACTTCCTATTCAGAACTCCATAGGAGATATTTCAATGTGGCTTTAACTAGTATCTTCAACATCCTACCTGATTCTGTTGGAGGGGGGGCTGGGACTGTCCATCAGGAGCTTGGCCCTGGTTGTCATTCCCTCCAACTGGAGAGCCACGAGTCGTGGCTGTCATACTCGACACAGGGCAGATCTTTGCAATTTTGTCTGCTTATGTAGTTGTCTTGAGAAAAGAAATTATAGTCCACTTAAAGAAGATGAAATACCAGCATTTGTCAGTCTTAAAAAGCTCCAATTCAAGAATAAACCATCTTGCAGAGACCATTGCATAACCTACAAAGAGAAGTGAAAAAGAGAACATCTGTTTTAGATATAAAAAGCATGAATTAAGAAACTGTTCAAATTTAGTATCATCAGTAAAATCGGGTCAAGAGAAGATAACTAAATAAATGACAAGAAAAACTGAAAAGTAAAAGCTTCATTACTACATTCAACTTAACTAATAATAGTACCACAGCCATTACACCAAGGAAACATACAAGGCTACTTTTATCATGCAATATTTCAGTTTTCTCTTGAAACCGACTCCAAAAATACTTCTTAGTTGCCACTTGGTGAAATTATAGAATGGTAAACTGACCTTAATTTGCTAATGCCTTAAGCACACTGCAAAAACATGTGTGTACTCAGCACACAAAGCACAAGCTGATTACTAAAACACTTCAAAAGGCCATTCATCAAACAGTTATCATTAAATTTGGATACTAAGCTTATAAGTAATTTTAACATATGCCTTTTAACATCTTAAGAGACAAACTCCAGGTCTGTGAGCATATAGAAGAAAAGATCATGTAAACAAAACACAAAGTCCTCTAGAAAAAAACTCAAACCCACCAACACTGTGACACTTTGGACTTTCAGATTCCAGAACTGTGAGAAATCAAAAGTTCTACTGTTAGTCCCATCCTCATCCCCAAATTCCATTAAACCTTTTAGGGGGGGATTTTTTTTTTCTTCGCAGAGAGCAAACTATGGAATTACTATTCCAGTACAACTGAATTCAAGTGACCTTAGCTTTCATTCCTTGCAAGGCTTTGTTCAGAGGCACTTCTGGAGTCCTATCAGGGATACAGGCCTCAACTACTTAACACTCATTCTTTGCAACCTAACAAAAGGGCACAGGAGAACTTTAATTTTATATTCAATAGACCAGTGAGTTTCATCTTTATTTGTATAGTAAAAGCACCAGAGGTGCTTTCAGTATCACCAATATCCAGGTTCCCCACAAGGTGGAATAAGCTCCAGGCACCTGCAGCTTTAAAACAAAACAAAACAAAACTCTGGGGCTAGAGAGATGGCTCAGCCATTAAGAGCATGGATTGCTCTTGCAGAGGACCAGGGTTCCATTCCCAGCACCCACACGGCAGCTAACAACTGTCCGTAACTCCAGTTCCAGGGGATCGGACACCCTGTGCACTTTACACACATGCAGGCAAAACACTCATACACATAAAAATAAAAAATTAAAAAATCTTGCTGGGCATGGTGCCGCATACCTGCAGCTCCAGCACTCGGAGGCAGAGGCAGGCTCTGTGTGAGTTTGAGGCCATCCTTGTCTACACAGTGAGTTCCAGGCCAGCTGGGGCTACAGGGAGACCATGTCTCAAAAAGACCAGAAAAAAAAAAGTAAAAAAAGGGCTGGAGAGAAGGCTCAGGGGTTAAGAGCACTAGCTGCTCTTGCAGAAGACCTGGGTTCAGTTTTCAACACCCACATGGTGGCTAATAACCAAAACTCCAGTCCCCGCAAAAATGACACCCTCTTCTGGCCTCTAGGCATTGCACACACATGATGCACTCATATACATGCATGCAAAACACTCATACACATTAAAAAATTTTAAAAACTGGGGCTGGAGGATGGCGCAGCAGTTAACAGTACTGACTGCTCTTGCAGAGGACCTGGATTTGATTCCCAGCACCCACATGGCAGCTACGAACCATCCTTAACTCCAGTTCCAGGGGAATCCAAAGCCCTCTTCTGACCTCCACGGCACTGCACGACACAAGTGCACTCACATACATGCAGGCAATACACTCATACACATTTTAAAAAAAAAACCTAAACTAAAAAGTTACAGGTTGGGAGCATATACTACAGTGCTAGAGCACTTGTCAAGCACACACCAACACCATGGGTTCCAACCCTGGCACTGCAAAAATAAAATTAAAAGGCAAGTAGAAGAAAGTATCTATAGTATGTATCTCTGAAAGTTTACAAAATAAGAATAAGGAGATGACTCAGAAAGAAGCAAAGGATATAAAAAGGTCCATAAAAATACAAGAGATCAGCGAACACACAAAATACCACCAAAATATACAGCACTGCAAACAAAAACTTGTGTAGGAGTTAACACAGTTGGTAGCACTTGTCTGGCATGTGCGAGGCCCTGGGTTTAATTGCATCATAAAGAAATACAAAAAAGAAAACCAAGTCTCTGAGTTATGTGTCTTTACTCAAGTACAGGTAGAGTAGATACGCCTAAAACAAATTCAATAACTGTCCACTAAATCAACCATCTCTTTTTAAAGACTTTCCAGAAGTAATTGAAGTGTCCATCAATAGATGGATAAACAAAATGCACATTCATACAATAGAATATTTTATGTTAAAAAGGAAATTCAGGACACATGTTGAAACATAGATTAACTTTGAGGATATTGTGCTGGGTCAAATAAGCCATTCAAAAATGCAAATATGGAGGCCGGATGTGGTAACACAGGCCTGTAGTCCCAGCACTTGGGAGACAGAGGCAGGCGAATCTCCATGAGTTCAAGGCCAGCCTGATCTACATAGTGAGTTCCAGGCCAGCTGGGGCTACAGGGAGACTTTTTTTTTTTTTTTAATTTTTAACTACATGATTAGAAGAAGCATTTCATTGCAACTTTAACATTCAGTAACACACTCCAGAGCAAGAGTACATCTCTTTCACAAGTGAAATACAATATTGAACTCAGTAGAAGCCCTGTAAGACATAAAATTGAATGAGTTTTTAACCTTTAAAAAAGATCTCCATTTCATTTTAGAATGTATTGTTCCTTGCAGAAACACTCGTTTTTGCTACTAACGCTGAGATGCTGGCGCATGCATCTCTAATCTGTATCTGATTGTTACTAGTCATAATTGGTTGCACTTGGATTCTTGGAGCCCATGTATAAAGTCACCAGGTAGATTTCAATGATAATGTTTATCACCTCTACTAATTAACATGACATAAATTTCCATGCTTCCTCCTCAAATATAATACATTTTTAAAAATTTGGGTTTTGTGTGTGTGTGTGTGTGTGTGTGTGTGTGTGTGTATCACACAGCCAACATCCCAAACCACCTTATTCAACTATACACCCACTTCCCAGAGGGCACCCTCACATAGCCTCCCTCCCCCACTAGAGCCCTTATACTCTGATATCCCTGCTACGGTCTACTGTGTTGTCGGCACATCCAGCCATTCCCCACTACTTGTCCATCTGGTAAATCTAGTCAGCCTATCTAGAGGTATTTTAGGAAGGTCAGCTGTTCCTCATCTACCAGCAATCAGTTGTCAAGAGTCCTTTGGATAAGATTGGGGTCTCCTGTTCATTTTCCCAGTTCTATGCTGGGTTACTATCTGGGAGTCCCTTTGGCCACCATGGCCAACAACTCAAAAGAAGGTATCTCCTATCTGGCATTGTTGCTTGTTATATAGCCTTTAGCTATACATATGGACTCTTAAAAAATTATATTGGCCCCTTTAATCTTTGGTTATACTTTCCTTTTGGGTGTTTAAGGCCATACAGTTGGCCCCGATACACCAATTTATTTTTACTCTTAAGGACATTTGAGGATCTGTTCCTCAGGGGTCACATGGGCTTGGGAGGAGCTCCTGGCTCCTTTCTTTCACCAGTTCCACCTACGTGAAGATAAGTCAAAGGTCCTGCTCGACCATGGTTGGCTTTGGTTGGAAGCATGGAGGAAATGATTCCTCTGTGTTGACCCTCCTCTTTGTAGACTGGACACTGGTTCAAGTCCATCTGGTGGGGTCTCCTCGGCCTCCTTGATCAAGAGGACAGGTGACCCAACACAATTACTGGACATTTTGAGCGATGCTCATAGTCCCTTGGAACTAGTCGACTTAGGAGGGCAAGGAGCAAAAACTGTCCTTTATGTCCCCCTGACCAAATTGGTATAGGCCTCAATGTATGTGTTAAACATCCAAGAAGGTTAGTTTCACCAGTCTGGTACTTTTAATTACTGTGTGCCATGTAGATAAATCTTGGGCAAAGACCAACTGTTCTCAGATAAACCTTACCTAGATATGTATTTCTTGATCTGGTATGTATAATTTGTCAGTATGTTGTTGGAGTAATATAGTTCCCTCTGGTTTTTTAAAACTAGGCATTATTTATCTCTTGCATTGTCTCACCCCTCCACCATGGTTTCCCCAATTAAGGTGCCCCCGTTTCCCCTCTTTTTCCCTTAATAATACCCTTCTCCTATGGTCCTACCTCTCTTGAGCTCCTTCTTTCCCTTTATCCCCTAGGTTCCTTGT